TCCTCAAAACAGCCACCATACCTACCTATCCTGGCATTAACATAGCCATTCTGAGATATATTGCCATGCAACTTCCATCATCATCATATACACGACTTGAGCGTTCATTGTCATATTGCTTTGCATGATCGTAAGATAGCTAGCATGATATTTTCATGGCTTGTCCGTTTTTTTATATCTTTGTTATGCTAGATCATTGCACACCCTGGTACACTACCAGAGGCATTCATATAGAGTCATATTATTCTACATATTGAGTTGTAAGTAAATAAAAGTGTGATGATCATCATTATTAGAGCATTGTCCCAGTGAGGAAAGGATGATGGAGACTATGATTCCCCCACAAGTCGGAATGAGACCCCGGACGAAAAATAAATAAAAAATAAAAAGAGGCCAAAAAAGAGAGGGCCCAAAAAAACAAAAAAATGAGAGAAAAAGAGAGAAGGGGCAATGCTACTATCCTTTTACCACACTTGTGCTTCAAAGTAGCACCATGTTCTTCATAGAGAGAGCCTCCTATGTTGTCACTTTCATATACTAGTGGGAATTTTTCATTATAGAACTTGGCTTGTATATTCCGTTGATGGGCTTCCTCAAATGTCTGAGGTCTTGATGAGCAAGCAAGTTGGATGCACACCCACTTAGTTTCAGTTTAATCTTTCATACACCTATATCTCTAGTGCATCCGTTGCATGGCAATCCCTACTCACTTACATCGATATCGATTGATGGGCATCTCCATAGCCCATTAATTTGCCTAGTTGATGTGAGACTTTCTCCTTTTTTTATCTTCTCCACACAACCTCTACCATCATATTCTATTTCACTTATAGTGATATATCCATGGCTCACGCTCATGTATTGCGTGAAAGTTGAAAAGGCTTGAGAACATTAAAATTATGAAACAATTGATTGGCTTGTCATCGGGGTTGTGCATGATGAAATACTTTGTGTGATGAAGATGGAGCATAGCCGGACTATGATTTGTAGGGATAACTTTCTTTGGCCATGTTATTTTGAAAAGACATGATTGCTTTATTAGTATGCTTGAAGTATTATTGTCTTAATGTAAAATGATAGACTATTGCTTTCAATCACTCATGTCTTAATATTCATGCCATATGTAGATTATATGATCAATATTATGCTAGGTAGCATTCCACACCAAAAATTATCTTTTTTATCATTTACCTACTCGAGGACGAGCAGGAATTAAGCTTGGGGATGCTGATACGTCTCCATCCAATCTATAATTTTTGATTGTTTAATGCCAATATTCTACAACTTCCATATACTTTTGGCAACTTTTTATACTATTTTTGGGGACTAACATATTGATCCAGTGCCCAGTTCCTGTTTGTTGCATGTTTTTTGTTTCGCGGAAAATCCATATCAAACGGACTCCAAACGGGATAAACACTTACGTAGATTTTTTTTGGAATATATGTGATTTTTGGGAGAAAGAATCAATGCGAGACGATGCCCGAGGGGCCCATAAGGACGAGGGCGTGCCCTAGGGGGTAGGGAGCGCCCCTGGTCCTTGTGGCCACTAAGTAGGGCAGTTGGTGCCCTTCTTTCGCCGCAAGAAAGCTAATATCTGAATATAAATTGTGTTAAAATTTCATCCCAATCGAAGTTATGGATCTCCAGGAATTTAAGAAACGATGAAAGGCCAGAATCTGGGAACGCAGAAATAGAAGAAAGCAGAGAGAGAGAGAGAGAGAGAGAGAGAGAGAGAGAGAGAGAGAGAGATCCAATCTAGGAGGGGCTCCCGCCCCTCCGCTGCCATGGAAGCCAAGGACCAGAGGGAAACCCTTCTCCCATCTAGGGGGAAGGTCAAGGAAGAAGAAGAAGAAGGGGGATCTCTCCACCTCTCTTCCGGTAGCGCCGGAACGCCATCGGGGCCATCATCGCAACAACAATATACACCAACAACTTCGCCGCTATCATCACCAACTCTCTCACCCTCTATGTAGCGGTGTAACACCCCTTCTCCCCGCTGTAATCTCCACTTGAACATGGAGCACAACACTATATATTATTTCCCAATGATGTATGGCTATCCTATGATGTTTGAGTAGATCCGTTTTGTCCTATGGGTTGACTGATGATCGTGATCAGTTTGAGTTGCATGTTTTATTATTGGTGTTGTCCTATGGTGCTCTCTGTGTCGCGCAAGCGTGAGGGGTACCCGCTGTAGGGTTTGCAATATGTTCATTGTTTTCTTATTGTCTGCGTTGCGTGAGTGATAGAAACACAAACACGGATAAGTGGGTCATGGCATATGGGAATAAAGAGGACTTGATACTTTAATGCTATGGTTGGGTTTTATGTTAATGATCTTTAGTAGTTGCGGATGCTTGCTACAGTTCCAATCATAAGTGCATATGATCCAAGAAGAGAAAGTATGTTAGCTTATGCCTCTCCCTCATATAGAATTGCAATATTGATTACCGGTCTAGTTATCGATTAGGGACAAATAACTTTCTCATGACAAAAAGCTTTCTACTAAACCTAACTTAGTTGTGTCTTTATCTAAATAGCCCCTAGCTTTTATTTACACGCTCTTTATTATCTTGCGAACCTAGCCTACAACACCTACAAAGTACTTCTAGTTTTATACTTGTTCTAGGTAAAGTGAACGTTAAGCGTGCGTAGAGTTGTATCGGTGGTCGATAGAACTTGAGGGAATATTTGTTCTACCTTTAGCTCCAAGTTGGGTTCGACACTCTTACTTATCGAAAGAGGCTAGAACTGACCCCCTATACTTGTGGGTTGTCACTTTTCATTCTGGTTGTGATAGTTTGTAACAAACAAGTGGTTTCTAATAAGAGAAATCAGAGAGGGAGCTCTCTTTATCAAAAAAATTTGTCTTATCTAGATATTAATATCTGCCTTTTATTATCAATTTCCCACTATCAAAATTGAAGGAAGAAACATAAGCTCATTTTCTTTCCTTGAACAGCAAATCAAGAGTGTCATTCTAGGTTGATCAAGCAATTGACTATTCAAAGATTACAAGGGTTCATCAGTCCCAATGTTAGTATACGGTCAAACATCCCATCCTTTGCCTGTCCCCTTCCTTTTTCTTTCTCCGTACAAGAAGTGCAGAGTTGCAATCCTTTACCACCAATCTAGAGGGTTGAAGAAACCAACCATGTTGCATAACAAACCAAAAGGAAAATGGTGGAGTCATCGCACCAAAAGCCAGCCAACCGCTAGCCCTCGTTGACACACCAACGGCCAAGATACGGAAAGAGCCAACATATTTGACAACGCCTATCCTCATAGGCCTTTTCCCGACGCTAGACCAAACATCTCGAAGACTCGAAGTAGGGAGAGGCCGAAAATACCTTATTTAACTTGCCATCATAAATACCACCTGGCTGATGCCGCGAGGGAAACTAAACCGAAGGAAAATAATTGTACTTGTTAAAACTAAGAAAAACAAAAGGGATGGGTCCCTAGCCCTCCAACCGCCGATAAGACCGCTAAATGGGAAGACGACTGAAACTGTGGCATGGAGAAGACCTTGACTATTACTCCCTCGGTTTATAAATGTAAGATGATTTGAATATTTCAGTATGACTTGCATATAGACTGAAATGAGTGAACAAACACACTAAAACATGACTATATCTATCCGATTCACAAAAAGTTCGAACATCTTATATTTATGAACAGAGGGTGTAATATGTGTCTATTTTCATGGCATTGAACAACTCACCAACCGTGAAGAACCAAACAACAACATAGCTATCAGGAGCAAATATGTTCGGGGTACCAAAACAATGTCCTCTAGTGTTCCCTCTCTTACTACTTCCGTTCTTCAACCTTCCTACACATGCCTCCTCCCATCCATGTTTTTTGATAGGGATAATTGGTTTTATGCCCCTAGTTGGGTCACACTCGGCAGGTTTACCCCTGGTTTTCGAAAACACTCGTTCCCGCCCAAACCACTAGAGGCATAAAACCAATTATCCCCTTTTAATAAACCCTCCCCCACCCATGTCACATCACATCTATGATTTTACCCACCATGTTTTCCATGAAAACCAACTCTTTACTTTCCTACTTGCTTTATCAAATAAAATCTTGTTTATTAGGTATGTCAATGAGTGCTCATTAATTGACAGCTAGATTTTCTTTTTAGTCAATTATAGTACACATTAACAATAAGCTGACAGGCGAATCAACCTGTGGTTGAGTTGGTTAGGTGGACAGTGGTATCCCCAACCCACCAGGGTTCAAATCCTGGTGCTCGCATTATTCCTGGATTTATTTCAGGATTTCCGGCGATATGCTTTCAGTGGGAGGAGACGTTCCCGTCGACGACGAGGTGCCTGCGGTGACTTCGTAAATCTCAAGATGATATGCCGGCTCAGTCTCTCGGAGGTGCTCATAGGGGTAGGGTGTGCGTGTGTGCGTTCATAAGGGGGAGTGTATGCGCGTGTATATGAGCGCTTGTGTCTGTACTGATGCTCAAAAAAACAATAAGCTGACAGGTAATTACAGTGATTGCCTAAAAATCATTAATAGAAATGTGCAAATTATATGCACGGGCAGTTACTTAGCGGAAACGCTCCTTCGCACGCGAGTGTTGGAACGAGCGATTTCCTTAGTCTATGGGAAACCATTTCAAAGCATTGATATCATGCAAAGAAAAACTATTTTGCCTACTATTATTATTTGCCTTTTCTTATCGATTTTCCACGATTAAAAATCGAAGAGGGAGTAATTTTCTTTCCTTGAGCAGCAATTCGAAAGCGCCAATCTAGATTGACTGCTGGAAGATTCCAAGGACCCGTCAGCCCTGACGTCAGCACACGGTCGAACATTCGCTTCCTTCTTTTCCAAGCACTAGGGCGATGACGTAAACACGATCAACACGTTGCATCCGCTAGTTAAAACGGCAACCGCACAGCTGCACCGTCCTCATCTCAGCCCCCCGCATCCATTCCACCAGCGAACAGAGAGCAGAAGAGCACCACACGCTCGCCATGGACACGTGGCACATCTTCCTCGGCTCGATCCTCCTCGCCATCCCGCTGATCCTACTCCTCCGCGGCCGCAAGGGCGGCCGGCTCCGCGTCCCGCCCGGCCCGCCGTCCTTGCCGGTGCTGGGCAGCGTCGTGTGGCTGACCAACTCGCCCGCCGACGTTGAGCCCCTGCTCCGGCGCCTCTTCAAGCGCTACGGCCCCATCGTGTCCCTGCGCGTGGGGTCCCGCCTCTCCATCTTCGTCGCCGACCGCCGCCTGGCCCACGCGGCGCTCGTTGAGCGCGGCGCCACGCTCGCGGACCGCCCCGCGCTCCCTTCGCTCAAGCTGCTGGGCGAGAACAACAACACCATCACGCGCGCCAGCTACGGGCCTGTCTGGCGCCTCCTCCGCCGCAACCTCGTCTCCGAGACGCTGCACCCGTCCCGCGTCCGCCTCTTCGCGCCCGCGCGCTCCTGGGTGCGCCGCGTGCTGGCCGAGAAGCTGCGTGATGAGTCGTCGTCCGGCGGCGCGGCCGTCGTGGAGACGTTCCAGTACGCCATGTTCTGCCTCCTCGTGCTCATGTGCTTCGGTGAGCGGCTCGACGAGGCCACGGTCCGCGCGATCGCCGCCGCCCAGCGCGAACTTCTCATCTACAGGTCGAGGAAGATGGCCATCTTCTCCTTCCTGCCGTCGGTGACCAAGCATCTCTACCGCGACCGCCTCCAGACCGTGCACGCCATGCAGCGGAGGAAGAAGGACCTGTTCGTGCCGCTGATCAACGCTCGGCGGGAGTACAGAAAACTCGGCGGCGAGCCCAAGAAAGAGAGCGCGTTCGAGCACTCCTACGTCGACGCCCTGCTCGACATAAAGCTCCCCGAGGAGGGAAACCGCCCGCTCACCGACGACGAGATGATCAACCTCTGTTCCGAGTTCCTCGACGCCGGGACCGACACCACCTCCACCGGGCTGCAGTGGATCATGGCCGAGCTGGTGAAGAACCCGGCCATCCAGGAGAAGCTCTACAAAGAGATCAGCGCCACGAAGGGGGACGACCAGGACGAGGTCTCGGAGGAGGACGTCCACAAGATGCCGTACCTCAAGGCGGTGGTCCTCGAGGGCCTCCGGAAGCACCCACCGGCGCACTTCGTGCTGCCGCACAAGGCGGCGGCGGACATGGAGATCGGCGGATACCTGATTCCCAAGGGGGCGACGATGAACTTCATGGTGGCCGAGATGAGCAGGGACGAGCGGGAGTGGGAGAAGCCAACGGAGTTCGTGCCAGAGCGGTTCCTGCCAGGCGGCGCGGGCGAAGCGGTGGACGTGACCGGCAACCGGGAGATCAAGATGATGCCGTTCGGCGTGGGCCGGAGGATCTGCGCCGGGCTGGGCATCGCCATGCTCCACCTGGAGTACTTCGTGGCCAACATGGTGAGGGAGTTCGAGTGGCAGGAGGTCGCCGGCGAGGAGGTGGACTTCGCCGAGAAGAACGAGTTCACCGTCGTCATGAAGAAGCCGCTGCGCCCACGCCTCGTGCCACGAAGGGCCTGAGACAAAATCCATCTCCATCAGCAAGTAGTCAAAATCGACCAGTAGTCCACTCCTATCGCTTCGGTCGTTCTTGTTTTTAGTTTACTCCATGTTGATAATGGTTAATTAGTTGCTGTACGATGGAATATTACTAGTGCCGCTTTCGAGAAGTTGAGGTGTTTGAAATACAAAGCTGCAGTCAGAGGCCGGATAGGCTGGTCATAGTGGGAGTAACTTAGATTAATGTCATATGCATGACACTAGTTTAAGTTACTACCTTCATAATGCAAAGTAACATAATAATAGTGTCATAGATGGTTTCATTTATTAGCTTGTAGGCTCATTTTGTTTGAAAGCGCTATGTTACAGTAATATATTATGTTACTACCTCGTATTAAATACTTGCCATATAAACAAATTTTTTTTAAAGTGCACTATGTTACTAGTTAAGTTACTCTCACTATAACTAGCCTTATATATGTTACTAGTTTATGATTGCGAAACAGCTATGCAGACGATGCACTCCATGGACGACAGGTGCACGATTTTCATCTAGCCGTCTGCTGCACTTTAATAATATGCACGGACGCACGAATATGCCCTATCGTGCACAAATCGTCTGCTATGCGTCGTGTGCATAGCAGCGCTCTTATGATTGAGCAAGCAAGAGCACAGATTTCCTGCCTGGTTGAATTTCGCGTGGTCCAGATGGAGCTTGTCGACACGGATGCGCGAGAGCTCGGAAAGCGTGACACAGAGTGGACGAGGCAGGAGGCAGTGCTCGTAGGCACGATAAGTCTACAAGAAAGAGAGGAAGGCGGGGCAGACATATCTCCGGAGTGTTAATGACACGTAGTTACTTCCTACTAAATTTAATATAAAGTTGGATCATCTATTTTAAAACAGAAAGAGTAGTTTACCTTACTTGTTAAAAAAATACTCCCTTCAATGCATATTACTCGTCCTTCATTCGTTTGAGAAAAGGTAATTATTAGTTTCAAGGGAGTACAGATCTTTTGAAGAAAAAGTTAAGATAGATATATCCGTCCAAGATAACTTTGTTTCCGCCAGCATGCTACTTGGGTGACTTCAGTTCTGATTAGTGTTAACGCTACTTTATTTCAGATTGCATCCTGTATTGGGGTTAACCTAAGTGTTGCCAAGAAAGTAATATAAATATTCCGCAGATGAATCTTCTTCGTTGGACCCTGCGACTAGATTTCATTTCGTCAACTCAATTTTTAAATAAAGACACCAAAGACGTCTTAAATCTGACTAATATCAATCAAAGAAAACAAAGGCTAGTATCATGGCTAGACAACACGACGTGGAACAACATGAAAAAAGATTACATTAAAAAATATAGTAGTCTTCTTCCTCCTTTGATTGCACCCGCCGAAGGTTGAAAACTGCACTGAACCACAACAACTAAAAGTGCCACCTGCGAACGTCCTCGCTATACCAGGTTTTGAAGACTACAATATCCACTCGCCTCTTGAAGCGAGATCTAAAAATCGCTCAAGCAGCATCGAGTGGTATCACTCCACGCGGAACAAGCTTGCAATTCACCACCACTAGCAGAGAGGGTTGGAGAAACAGGGTCAAGCCACACAACAACACAAAGGAAGATGTCATAGTCATCACACCAATAGCCAGCCAAAAGTTCTCCTTGAAAGACACACGGACAACCAAGATCTGAAGGGAACCAATGGATTTGGGGATACAAACTCTCACAGGCCCTTCGTCAGCGCCGGATCGGACGTCGTCGAGGTAGTGAGAGACCAGGGATACCTTATTCCACCATACCATCGTCACCAGTATCTGCAACTCCACTGTCTGTGGTCGCAACACCACCGACAAAGGATGCAACTTCATCGGTGAGGATTGCAGCTCCCGCCCACGATTTTGAACTTGCTCTAGTTTTGAATTTGCTCTATTTCAGTACTTCTGGCCAACAATTAATGATGACACACCCATCCATGGAAGACGCGTACGTACATGTGAAGTTGATATCATGATGCACAATAGTTGTGACGAAACCTAGTTCGTGTATCATGTTAGCATAACACGTCGGTACCTTCTATTGGGGAAAAGCGCAGGGAAGTAACAATTACATATTTTGTAAAAAGAGTATGCTAAAAAAAGTAAAAGTGAATACAAATCTTACGATGAGTTTGTTTCTAATGTTGGACTTTGTCAAAGTATGCAACAATGGCATGCATGAATGATTAGTCGATCCAGTTTTGTATTTGTTCAGAAACCACTCAATACGCTTAAACTTAATCGCATGGACAATTTTTTCTCAGTTATTAATAAACTTAACCGCTCAATTCTCCTCATAATTCGTTTTTGTGTAATATCCAGTTTACTAAAAACCACGATAATGTATATAAGCAAAATTAGTTGCAAGTTGAGGAGAACTAGTAATGAATGTCAAATTAGTACAGGTAGTAAGTAATTGTTATAGTATGCGAACATGGATGTAATAAAAAGGATAATTAAATGTTGTTATGTTTTAAAAAGCATACATAGATGAGTGACGGGATCATTGGGAAGTTGGACAGAGATGGAACTATGAGGCTTGCCAGCTAAAGTGAGGTGCATGTTCTTGTCAACAATTTGATATATTGGGTCCAATTGGTCCCAATGAAAGAGGTTCTTTGTTGTTCATTCCCGATAATTATGCCAAAAGTAAAGTCTTCTTTCGTCTAAAGCAAAGTTGTAACTTCAGTTATGCCAAATCTTGTAATGTCGACCTTGTCTAAGAAATCGTTCCTTACAGAGTAGGGGGTGACCTCAGAAAAATGAAGTGAAATAAAGATGCCCTCTTACAGAGCAATATTAAGCGATTGTTTTTACACAAGGTATGTTGGTCTATTAGTGAGATTATAGTGTTTAGAAACTATATTTGAGACAACCATACACATGAGTAATTTTGAAATGCAGTAACGTTATGTTAGAAAAGTTGATAGTTAGAAATTGGTAGATTTGATTGCATACTTGACATGAAAAAGATGTTTTATGTGCACCAACAACTAAAGTATGGGTTGTCGTGTGTGGTTTGAACTTTGTATAAAATGAGTATATATTACAAGATTTTCAATATGGCAGAACAACATAACAAGGATATTGATTAATAAGTAGTTGACAAAACAAAATTGTATGTGGGACTCATTAGAACAATTTTGTAGTCATGAGGAAATAATAAAAAACAATTGAGTGAATGTTTCATACGAATACAATTGCACATAAGTTGGATCCACAACTTGTTTAGTGAATAAGTGAGCACATAATTACTAGACTATAATGAACTACAAGCAAATCATGCATATATTGATTTAGATATTAATAATTATATGAAACTTACCGTTCTTTCTCTGCAGTTTTTTGAAAGGAAGAGAGGGAAGCAATTGTTCTTGACAAAATTTTCATCGGCGCACAAGCCTGTGAGGTCATAACAGGTTGCCCACTAGAGAATTGCGAACAGTTTCAGTACAAAGGAAACGTTCAACCTTGATTTGAACTATATTAAGCAGGATACATGGTAAGTAACCTCTGTTTCATCTGCTGCTTTCACCTTCTTCTCACCAAGGGTGAGTGGTGACGATAGCAACAGAAGAACACCGACAATAGCTGTCATAGGTGCCGATGGTTGGAGCCGGGGACTTCGGCGACCGGCGGCAGCAATATTCGGTACGAGTGAGAACAACTAGATCTAGAGGATGATGCTGAAAAGGAAGAACAAAAGGGAAAAACGGTAGGGACGAAAAAGTTGATGCATTTTGGCTCAAAAAAATTGTGGAGCAAGTGGACTTGACACCACAGAAATAAATGTCTCGTAGTTCGAAGCAACGACGTGCAGGGTGCGGCCAGAAAAAATAGAAATTAGAAATTGAAGTACCAAACGACGAAAGACGAAGACGATACTGTGGTGATAACTTTCAGATAGCAAAACTTGGTATTTACAGAAGGCAAGTTTGGACGAACAAAACTTAAAAGACAAACTTAAGTTATTTGAAAAAAAATAGAAGGCAAGTTTTGTAGAACATAACTTGAGAGGACAAGATCTACAAGCCTACGAGTAACTATAAATATAATGACACAAGAATCATTGCGCTTGGAAGAATGAAAGTGTTATGTTATTTGTAATGAAAATATCTTAATGAAAGGAGTAATATGTCCAAGATGGCATAATGTCAGTACGAATATAATTGCATTGCATAAAGGGTGTATAAATTTGTGATGTGAAGAAGGATGGCATGAAATTGAGATGATACAGGTCAAGAAGGAACTGATGAATTGAAAATGGGAAGAGGAAGATAATTCGACAAAAGTAAGATGAATTGAGAAACAACAAGGTCAAATGATTGAAATGAAGAGCGCAGATGACACGAAAGAGAGCAGTAAGGAAAGGTGATACCGAAATAGATGCACCGAGAGAGAAAAAGGTGAACAATAATAATGAATGGAATAAGATTGAAAAGAGAAACTGGTTTAAGAATAAATAAAGAATTGTACAAAACAGTAAAATGGGGCTTACATACAGAACCAGGACGTAGAAGAACGGTTGGACAAAGTATTATTACAAGCTAAAAATTCATATTTTCTCGTATTGACATGGTTTAGAATTTCCAAATCCCTTTTTAAGAAACATTGGTGCAAACAACTTTTCAAATTATGGCACAGATAAAAAAATCGAAACGGAGGCAAAAGATTTGCCTCATCCATTAATTAAGTAGAAGAGAATTTCCCAGTTAATTAATGGAAAACCGGGCGAAAACCGTCACAATCCGCTAAGCGACACACATAGTATACCCCATACACTCCTCTCTAAAGAGGGCTGATAACCCACAAGTATAGAGGATTGCAACAGTTTTTGAGGGTAGAGTATTCAACCCAAATTTATTGATTCGACACAAGGAGAGCCAAAGAATATGCTCAAGTATTAGCAGCTGAGTTGTCAATTCAACCACACCTGAAAAGACTTAGGGTCTGTTTGGTTTGCAACCTAAGCTTGCCACGCCTAACCTTAGTCGTGCCACTATAGCTTAGGCGTGTGTTTGGTTTATTGCCACACTTGTGGCTTGCCACACTTGTGGCTTGCCACACTTTTCTATCCACTTGGTCCACATGTCATAGGCTTAACTTTTTGCCAAATCTTGCCACACTTGTGGTGGCCATTTTGTGAGCCACACTTTTTGTGGCAGCCACACTTTGCCTAAGCTTAGTTGTGGCAAAGTTAGCCAAGAACTAAACATGCCTTTAATAACTGCAACAAAGTGTTTAGTAGTGAAGTAGTATGGAAGTAACGGTAACGATAGCAAAAGTAACAATAGCAGTTTTTTAGCAATTGTAACAGTGGCAACGACAAAGTAACGTAGCAAAGATCAATATGTGAAAAGCTCGTAGGCAATGGATCAATGATGGATAATTATGTCGGATGGCATTCATCATGCAACATTTATAACCCAGGGTGAAACAGAACTAGCTCCAATTCATTAATATAATGTAGGAAGGTATTCCGCATATAGTCATACGTGCTTATGGGAAAGAACTTGCATGACATCTTTTGTCCTACCCTCCCGTGGCAGCGGGTCCTAATGGAAACTAAGGGATATTAAGGCCTCCTTTCAATAGAGAACCGGACCAAAGCATTAGCACTTAGTGAATACATGAACTCCTAAAACTACGTTAATCACCGGAAAGAATCCCAATTATTGTCACCTTGGGGTATGTGGATCATAACTTGTAATAGGTGTCTACAACTTGCAAGATAGGATCAAGAACACAAATATATTCATAAAAAAATAATAGGTTCAGATCTGAAATCATGGCAATCAGGCCCTAGTGACAAGCATTAAGCATAGCAAAGTCATAGCAACATCAATCTCAGAACATAGTGGATACCTGGGATCAAACCCTAACAAAACTAACTCGATTACATGATAAATCTCATCCAACCCATCACTGTCCAGCAATCCTATGATGGAGTTACTCACGCATGGCGGTGAACATCATGAAATTGGTGATGGAGGATGGTTGATGATGATGACGGTGACGATTTCCCCTCTCCGGAGCCCTGAACGGACTCCAGATATGCCCTCCCGATGAAGAACAGGAGGCGGCGGCGGCTCTGTATCGTAAAACGCGATGAATCCTTCTCTCTGATTTTTTTCTCCCGAAGTGAATATATGGAGTTGGAGTTGAAGGAAATATGCCCTAGAGGCAATAATAAAGTTGTTATTTTTATATTTCCTTATATCATGATAAATGTTTATTATTCATGTTAGAATTGTATTAACCGGAAACTTGATACATGTGTGGATACATAGACAAAACACCGTGTCCCTAGTAAGCCTCTACTAGACTAGCTCGATAATCAAAGATGGTTAAGTTTCCTAACCATAGACATGTGTTGTCATTTGATGAAAGAGATCACATCATTAGGAGAATGATGTGATGGACAAGACCCATCCATTAGCTTAGCATGTTGATCGTTCAGTTTTATTGCTATTGCTTTCTTCATGTCATATACATATTCCTTTGACTATGAGATTATTCAACTCCCGGATACCAGATGAATACCTTGTGTGCTATCAAATGTCACAATGTAACTGGGTTGGCATAGATCGAGATTAGCATTTGTCACTCCGAATATCGGAGAGGTATCTCTGGGCCCTCTCGGTAATGCACATCATG